CAAAACTTTATAATCCCGCACTTAGGTGCTGGTCAGTATCTAGTGGTAACGAATCACAAAACCCTAACAGAGTAAGATGAGTCGATAAGTGTGAAAAAATTAACCGATCGCTTTTCTTTGGTTTAAAAATAGAACCGGATTCAATATCTACACAAAAAGGCTTTTCTTTTAATGGGTTTGTTTGATCTCAGCCCATAACAGGCCCAATATGACTCTCTTAGGTTACAGGTTTATTAGTATATATACCCTTAAACCTAGACTCTCTGCTAAGCCGCAGGAGGAAGAAGAAGAAGCTGTATCTGTGACTTGTGAGTTCTCATCTCTTCTCTAACTCGTTGTCTCTGTTTCCTCTGATTCTCAAGTTAGAAATTTAGGTTTGTAAATTGATAAAGGCATGTATTGCTTCTTCGTTTCTGAATCCGATCTTATGTTGTTCTTCTAGCTACTGGAATTTTCTGGGTTCGTTGTTTTGTGTTCATTGCGGTTATTACTGTTCTGCTTTAGTGATTTTGGAATGAGGAAAACTACAGTTTCATTGATTTCGTAGTGTGACTGTAAATCAAATCTTTGATGCCTTCGTTTCTGGAATCCCTAGAAAATTTGATAACAACTCTCACATTTAGTTATAACATAAGCGTGTTCTAGATCCTGGAGAATGATTGAGATTTAGAGCGTGAAGTAACATCGTTTGATTTCTCTTGAGCTTACTTGTGGTTTTGAATGCGTGATTCTCATGTTTCTTATTGACATTTTGTAGCTGAGGTGGAGAAATGAAGCACAACAATGTTATCCCGAATGGACATTTCAAGAAGCACTGGCAGAACTATGTCAAGACATGGTTCAACCAGCCTGCAAGGAAAACCAGAAGAAGAGTTGGTAAGTAGTGTCACCATTTTCCTTTTGTCATCTTCTTTTGGTCTTAATCCTTCTCATTTCTCTGTGTTTCACCATTGTTACACTGTAATCTCTCTGTATCTAACTACTTTATGTGACTTTGTTTGATCAGCGAGGCAGAAGAAGGCTGTGAAGATCTTCCCCCGTCCCACAGCTGGTCCTCTCCGCCCTGTTGTGCACGGTCAGACTCTTAAGTACAACATGAAGGTCAGAACCGGTAAAGGATTCACTCTTGAAGAGCTCAAGGTATGTACCGACTTTTCCTTGTATATTTTTCTTGATGGGTAATGTTGAAATTAATATTTTGTTTCTGATTAATCAGGCTGCTGGTATCCCCAAGAAATTGGCTCCCACAATTGGTATCTCTGTTGACCATCGCCGCAAGAACCGTTCTTTGGAGGGTCTTCAGTCCAATGTCCAGAGGTTGAAAACCTACAAGGCTAAGTTGGTCATCTTCCCGCGTCGTGCCCGCAAGGTCAAGGTACTCCTTGGAACCAAGAGTCTAGTAGTAGCTTTTTTAGATTGGATTTCGATCTGATCCCAAGTTGCTATTTTTTGTTATGTGTCAGGCTGGTGATTCTTCTCCTGAAGAGTTGGCCAATGCAACACAAGTCCAAGGAGACTACATGCCTATTGTCCGTGAGAAGCCTACAATGGAGCTTGTGAAGCTGACCTCTGACATGAAATCGTTCAGGGCTTATGACAAGATCCGTCTAGAGCGCACAAACAAGAGACATGCCGGTGCTAGAGCCAAGAGAGCTGCTGATGCTGAGAAAGAAGAGAAGAAGTGAGGATCCTTCTTAGGTAGAAGCAACTGTTATCTTAAATCGTCTTTTGGACCTCTGAATTTTGGTGTATCAGACTTGTTTTTGTTTCGTCAGTGTTTTACCCTTCAAATCTTTGATCTTGCTGCTAGTTACTTATCTGGATTATGGAAAAATATCTTATCACACATCTCTATTTCTTAGAAGTTTGTCAGATGATTATATATTTCAAGTTGCCAGAAACTTCTTTAGGTTCAGAAGAAAAATTCGACCAAAAAAAAGAGGTTCAGAAGAAATTTAATTTGGGATATTAAAATAGTTACGTTTTAACTTTTACGTAATTTTAACTACGTTTGGCAACATATACCTTTTTTATGCTTGACCCATATCTCTATCCAACTAGTGTTTTGCTTTGATCCATTATTCCCTATATAGGGGAATAATTAATTATATTTAGAGACACTTTATCACAAACTTTTGAAAGTTTTGGACCAAAACACACTTTCTTTCTTGTACACATGATTTTTATACGCCTAACCAAACATGACACATTTTCTTGTTCAAAATTAACGTGTTCAAATATATTTATGTACCGTTAGATGATTTTGTTTTATTAGTGACAATGTGTGGTTGAAATTGTTCTAAAAGTTCGAGTGGCTTGCCTTCTCCAAAACGTCTGATTTAGTGACTTGTCTTTTCTTTACTAATGTCAAATTCTGGGATTTTTGATTTCTCCAGAAATTTTTTAGAATTTCAAGCAAAAAAAAAACCTAGAGAGATTTTGAATCCTTCCGTAGCTTTGATGCAGGTCGCCAGAGGTGAGTAATTTGGGTTTCTTATTGTGTCGTGGATATCGCAGTCACAATTTTCGGTGTCTCGTCGTGTGGTTTTGATGGAAGCTTATTTTGCTCTCTTGGTCGGGTTATGCATTTTCACTCTCCTTTGTATTCATCTTCGGTCTCGTCCCAGTGCGACATTACCGTCGCAAGATCTCGTATCCCGCTTCGCAAATACTCTGGTGATCGTCCCATCTCTGAAGAAGAAGAAACGAGATAGCAAACAGAGCTTTGAAATCGCAGAGATTTAAGATTGTTATCAAATTTGTGGTCATAGAAATCGAATTCCACCAAAAGACAATGAATCCATCCATCGATGAAAAAAAAAAAATGGAATTTTCATTTGGATTTATAACCCAATTCCAAAAAACTTATTCATACGGATATTGTAAGGTAGACAATACAAAAATGTATGAATTC